AGGGCATAAAGTGTATACTTTAGACTGTTGTTTTACGGCGTGAAAGCCTTGATATCCGGATTATAAGAAAAAAACAAAAGAGAGAAATGACAAGATTAGAAAGAAAACAAATCTGGTTCCACGAAATTTGCATACCGAGGGTATTTTTTTTTTTTTGTGGCGGGACAGTGCATTGAGAAGTCCTATAATTGAAAGGGATTTTTTTTTATTGGAGACTCTTTTAATGAAAAAAAGAATTTAATGCCATAAAAAAGACAGATTTTTATTGAAAGATGCGGTAATTTAGAGAAGATATTAGTAAATAAAAGGGTTTGAATTTTAAATATGTTAGATAATTATAAATTAATTAAATTAAAATTTGAGTTTAAATTTAAAAAATTAAAAATAATACAACTGCATGAATATTTTACTTTAATTTTTTTATCATGATCATTCGATGATTATCTATTTTAAATGGGAATAAAAAGGAGATAGGGATGGGTGAAAAGTGAGATATTGGCACAAAAAGAGTTTTCCAAAAAAGGAAAAGTGGAAGTTGGGTTACATCGAAGAAGATCATGTTTAAGGCAAGTCATGCAATCTAAGATTTAGCTGCTCCCTTTCCGCAGTCTGAAGGGTGTTCACCGCCACAAAAGCTGACAAATCTAATATATATACTAGATAAAAATTAAAAACTACAATTTTTTTTTACATAAGATGTTATTGTTTGAGAAAAAAATTTCAAAATTTAAGATTTTAATTTTAAATTTATTAAATATTATATCTTAAAAATTATTTATATGAATCAATTTAATTCTAGAACAAGCTCAGATGAGGGTGTGATCATATCAAAATAAAACTGTAATCTTTTTCATGCTTTGGACTTGTTTATAACAACTATTATATCTAAACAATACATACAAAAGATGTACTTGGTGAACAATTGAGGTTCAAGTTTAAAGAAGGCAATTTGGCTGACAAATATGATATGATCTATAGCATTTCTCTTCATATTAAACAAAGGAGTTCATGAAAAAAAAAAAAAAGAATATAAAATAGGTGAGAAATTAATTGAAAGTTGAAACTCAAAGATGAGGTTAGGGCAAGGAAGGGAGTTGAATGAAGGAGAAATGCGATACTGGACAGCTTCCTACCTTTTTCTGACTCAAGAGGATCAAATTACAACGCAACTTTTAGTCTCCATCTACCGACAGAAGCTCTCGTCCCTTAAAGACCCTACTAGACCCCTACGTGAGACAAGTCCATGTGACCCCATAAATCCTTGGTTTTGAAACCCTAACCCCATCCCCATTCCTTCAAAAATCTAATATCTGCAAAGATATGTCAACGGAAAGCCATCCTCAAAAAGGAGAAAAGAAAATAACAAAGACCAAAGCTGGAGGAACAACTTCTGAGAGCCGCCAGTGTAATCATTCTGAATGATAATCACAAGAACCAGAGAAAAAGTTCTTCAACTCCAGACTTCTAAAAGAAAATTAAACAACAATATAAGTAACCTCTATCTTCTTGCCCAAGAATCTGGATTCTTTATTACATGTTAAGCGGATATACGTAGATGCAGACCCTTAAACAGAAACAAAAAGAGAGGGAAAAGCTCTAAAAAGAAACATATAATTACTACAACATCATTGAAATCTTCAATCCACATCATTCAAAACGACAACCCCATATCCGTTCGCTTTTTCTTTTTTTTTTTTTTTCCACTCATTCATTTCGCACGGAAATAGCCGAAGGCAATTACTCTGCTGTAATAGAGGCTTGAGCTGGCTAAGGCAGGTGTCCAATTATATTTTCCTTTCTTTAAAACATTTTTTAATGATGATAGAAAGCTAAATTTGTTAATATCATATTAGATAATATTTTTATTTTTTTAAAATGTAATATATATTAGAATCAGTTGTTTCAACATTTTATTTAAAAATTTTCAATTTAATATAAATATATTTATAAATATATATATGAATTTGTACATTATAATACTATTAATAATTTATAAAATAAATACAAAATATCTTAAAAAATCAAATAAATAAATTTAAAATTATAAAAAATAATATCATAAATTTTTTATAATATTTTTATTTAATATGATTATATGATATTTAAATAAATATTTTTTATATAAATATTGAAGAAAAATAAAGAGATGAAAAATTAATTTTAATTTCATAATAGTTAAATTTTAGAATGAGAGCATAATTGCTTTATTAAAAGATACTGAAATACTTATCAATTTTGATTTGAAAAAAATAAAGTATAAAAAAAATTAATTATAATAAAAAATAGAAAAACTCAAATTTTAAGATTTATATTATTAATTCATTTTATTTTTATTGAGTTAAAAATGGTCTAAAAACAAAAAATAAATTAAAAATTATAAAATATATTTTATATTCATGCACTTATTGAAATAAGTTAATCTATTAAAATTAATCAAAATTAACGAAAATAATTGATTTTATTCAATACTAAATTTGATATAAAAAATTATTTTTAAATATATTATATTTTGATATAATTAAAATATATAAATCAATATGATAAATGTCGAAATAAAATTAATAATTATGTAAAAAATATACATAGATATTTATTACTAACACTTTTGGATAATTTGATACAAATTTTTGGTTTTAACATACTCGTACTAAAACAAAAAACGAAAAGAGAGACTTAATAGTGAAATATTTCGATCAATATTTAAAACAAAATGCTTTTGGTTCGATGGAAATGGACTTAAAATTAAAGAGAGAGATAATAAGGTCTTGAAAAGAAAAGTCTTCAACGCAAGAGGGTGGTCCGTAATACGTACCAATGTAGGAAGGTACCTCGAGATAGATGATGCATTTTTCAAGGAAAAAAAGCATTAGTAGTTCTGTTCCTCCGCATGCATCATGTTATCCGTTACGAATTGAAGACGATTTTAAAATATAAATTTTTACATTATTTTTAATTTATTAGATTTTTTTATGAAATAAAATTATAAAAGTTAATAAATTAAAACGAATAATATTTTATAAGTTATTATAAATTCATGTAAATTTAAGAAAATCAGAAAAATAAAAAAATTAATAATATTAAGATAAATTTTATTTTGATTTTTAATTTTTAAAACTTTTAATTGACTCTTTAATTATCAACTATTTTAGGTTATCCGTATGCCAAACCATTTAATTTGATTATAATTGTCAAGAACTGTCACGTGGATGACTCGTGCCATACGTATGCCAACTGACTGTTGACATATTAAAAAGAGAACATATCCTTTAAAAAGGTTTTTTTTTTTTTCTCCCCATGAAAGCTTTCATCTTTCTTTTTCTTTCTTTCAATTTTTTTTTTTTATATTGAAGTTGAAATCTCAGTTCCTCGACCAGAAATTCATTGAAAAATTTTTGTTTGAAGACAACCAAATCTAATGAAAGCCGTGGATGGATTTAGGATTGTGATCTAGTGGTTATGGTTGTGATTTTTCCTTGGATTTAGGTTGGTGTTTGGCAGTGATGATCTCGACAAAATCTAAGGTTTATTAAAGGTTTTTTTTTTTTTTTCGAAATTACTTTTTTTAAAGTCTTACTCAATCACGTGCCATGTAAACTGATAACACATATAACATTCGTATCTTTCACGTGATATAAAATGATATTTATAACAAAAAAAAAAAAATGATATATATTTTGATAATTAGGATCCAATTATATTTTTTTTTTATAATTGAAGAACCAATTAATTTTTTTAAATTTAAAAACAAATAAAATTTGATACAAAATTTAAGGATATTGATGCTGTTATATTGAAATAGAAAATAATAATAGTACTTCTATTAAGTAATAAAATAAAATCCCTTTTTAAAATTAATCAGTAATTATTATTAATAAATTAAACAAAAATATTACATTTGTTGTAAAGAGCAAATTTAAACAAATTAATATTCAATAAAAGAATTACAACGTTCTAATTTCCTAAAACCAAACGCTATCTAACTACCTAAGTCTCTCTAATTTAAAACCCTATTTTTGGAATTTTGTGTTTGTACAAAAAAAAAAAAAAAAAGGATGGAGAAAATGTTTGTTACAGTTACATTTTCAATCGTGTTTCAGCACTTATCGTTTTAAAAAATCACGTCATCCCACTTTTTGGGTAAATCATATTATGAAAAAATAAAAAAAACATTCTTTTGTTTTTGTTTTTGTGAGGCTTTTTTTTTAGTTTAGACGTTTTGTCATTTATGATTCATATGTCCAAAACTAAGTTTTAAATCAAAATCTAAATCTGGTGTCATTTTAACCAAATCTTTTTCAATTTTAAATACAATAATTTAGTTTATAGTTGCCTCTTGAAACACTAAAGCAGTAATGTTGTTCTTATATAACTGATTGAATCGAACACCCATTTATAAACACAAAATTTGGACTTAGACATGTTAGTTATGTTTTATTTTTTCTTTAATTATGAAATAATTAAATTAAAAGTATTATCAATATTATATTTTTAAAAATAAAAAAATTGTTTTATATATATTTTTGTGCTTGCTTTTATGTACTTTGCTTATATTTTGATTAAGTAATTTACTAATTTATGCTTTGGAACTTTAAATTTAGATTTTTTTTAAAATTTGGACTTAGACATGTTAATTATGCTCATTTTATTTTTATTATTATGAAAAAAATAAATTAAAATCATTATATAAAAAAATAGTAAGATGATATATTTTGTAAAAATTAATATAATATAAGAATATTTTAATTTTATGAAATATTTCAGAACAAATTAACACGTGTGCAAAAGTCAGCTTAAAGTGGGCAGTTATGAGTAGAGCGTGACGTTATAAAATAGCAAGTGTTAGAGTGCGGCTGGCGTCCCCTAAAATGGGTCAGTTTCTATCGCTCTCACCCTACCTTCTATTCATTTATTTTCTATAAATATAGGCGTATTATACTGAGCTCCACTACAATCCATATTGCCGGTGCTAAGCCCCAGACCCTGAGCCCTGACCCCAGAAACCCTCACAGAAAGGAGTCTTTTAACCAAATGGAAGAAGCATTTAGGAGACTAAATGGCATCACTCATGTGCCTGAGCCTGACCAACGGGATTTCATCACCGACAATATTAAGAATTGCCCCCCCTTAACCACAATCACCACCGCCGTTACCGCCACGACAGCCACCGTCACAACAGCAACAAACAAAAGGTTAATCAAAGAAAATGGTGGCCCTGGTGGGACCATTAGGTACCGTGGGGTCCGCCGCAGGCCATGGGGTCGTTACGCTGCTGAGATACGAGACCCACAGTCTAAGGAGAGGCGGTGGCTTGGCACTTTCGACACGGCCGAGGAGGCTGCTTGCGCCTATGACTGTGCAGCTCGAGCTATGCGTGGCATCAAGGCTCGAACCAATTTTGTTTACCCTGCGACTGAGTCTCACTCCACCAATGACCATTTTCTCCCTCCGTTCAACTTCTCTAATCCAGCACAGCCATCCGTAAGGGATCTTAACAGCACTCGTCATCAGTTTGGGCACTCTTCAAGTCGGCCATCCTTTGCTAAATCCCACGTGGGGAACTTCTCTGGTGGGTCTGTGCCTCAAAGAAATGCTTCTCTGAACATGCTTTTATTACGTGACATCTTGAATTCGTCTTCAAATTCATCTCTCCAGGCGCCTCCTCAGTCTCTGGTTGATCAGTTTCCATTCATCAATGGAACATCTTCTGCTTCTTCTTCTTCATTATCTTGTACTTTCTCAACTCCAAGCGTTTTGCCTCGTGGTACTTGGTTGAATTCCTCAACCAACGCTATACGGACAAACGACAACATCACTGGTTCTTTCTTTGGCTCTACTATGACCCTTCCTCTCAAGGAAAACAATTCAAGTCATACCACAGGCGTGGCTGCCATGTCAAATTGTCAAGCTGATGATATGGAATTCTTTCCGCAGGAGCCTTCTGATTCTGGCTTGTTGCAGGACATAATTCAAGGGTTCTTGCCAAAACCCATCTCAAAGAAATCAGATGATTGTAGTAGAATCCCAAACTGCTCTCAAGATTCCATCCTTTCTCCTGTAACTGAAATGTCATTCGGTCAGTCCCTGAATGGGTTGAAGGAGAATAAAAACGAGCATGTAGGTTTTTATATTGATTATCATCAGGGTGTTCCTCAGCAGTTTGAGAGTTTCAATGGGATTACAGGTTCTCAAGTGGTGCCATACGCTAATGAGATACCAGTGAACCATCTACAGCTGGGTCAAGACTGCATGTTGGATGATATCTTTCAGTACCCAGATTTCATGGATGCCTCAGCAGCTAGCGTTCAAAATGCTTAAGCCCATCGCAATGCATGTTGAAACCCCAGCATGAGGTGAAAATCAACAGACAAAGTTGTGGGTCTCTTTTGTCAACAAAACTAGATGTTGAATTTAGGGTTTTTGCTGTCAACTTCAAGTCATTGGGTACTTTAATGGAGATTAAAATCACCGTTTTACTAATTTGATATGATAATCATATTTACTAGTTACTGCTAGTTTTATAACATGTGTAATCCTTCCAACAACTACGTAATCTTCCTTTTTTTTCATTTTCATATAAATAATGTTACAAACAGTCCTGAATTATAATGAAATAAAATATAATATTACGAATAATTTTTGAATTATAATAAAATATTTAATATAATATTTAAATTTAAAAAGTTTTTAATATGTATTTAAATTATAAATTTATTAATTAATATGATATTAATTTTTAATATGAAATTAATTTAAATTATGATATGTAAAAAAAAATAATTCTTCAATGACATAAATTAATAAATTTATTATTCAAATATCATATTAAATATTTTATAATAATTTATAATATTAACTCATACATATATATATATATATATATATATCTTCTGCTTTGACATTGGAAACAATAAAAAAGAAAAAAAAAAGTAAACGTTTCCTCTTTAGTGGAAGCAAGTTCTGAATCACGATGTTTTTCAATCTGGTTGATAGCTTAATTTTCGTTGACCTCGGAACTCAATAGTCAGTATTTGTCCTGCGTTTGGGTTCTGCGTTGTCGTTTTAACAATAAAAAGGCATTGGTTAAGGAGATGAGTGGTTATTGTTTTCTTTTGTTTCCTTCTATGAGTTTCGCAAACCGAAGCATGAAAATCAAAAGTATAAAACTAAAATGGGCTAATGGAAGCCTTGCTTTTTTTTTTTTCTTGTAAGTTGTGTGTCCGGTGAAGAACAATCTCTGGAATAATAAGACAAAGGAAAGTCCGCGGGGTCATGATCCTGCTCTTCTACTACGAACGATTCATGTTCCGTTTGTACCGAGCTCTGACGTGAGTATGTTTCCGAAAGGGTAGGAAATTAAAAAAGAGTAGTTAGAAATAAAGGCAAGGAATATTTTATGTGTAAGCATTTTAACGCACAAGTAAAAATCAAAATAAAAGATATCGGAAGAAAAAAGAAAATATGGCTTCTGCTATGATGATGATGTCTGGATGTCTATATTTATAAATGAGAGGCAAATGACCAATGGAAGACAATAATGACTTGATCTAATTGATGTGACATTAAATATGTCAAATCAGATTGACGCAAATGTATAAATTATTTCTAACTGTTTACTAAGAGCTCTTAATGATAAAAAATATTATTTTACCTTTGGATCACTAAATAACTTTAACATTTTATCTCTCTATTAAGTAGTTTGAGTATCAGGGTGTGTGATTAGTTTGTTTCGTATAAATCGACTAGTTTAGAGGAAACCACGTGGAATCTGACCTCCTATAGCCAAAGTCAACGTGAAGGTTAGCAAAGACAATTTGCCTTTTATTATAACCCAAGGTGATGTGACCTAAGTCAACTAGGTGTGAGTCTGACCTCATACATGCACTTTAGGTTGAATGCATAGTTTTTTTGGAAGTTGCCAAAGTGTCATTTATTCGGGATGATCCAAAATCATGATTAGAGTTTATTTGGTTGAATTGAGATTTAAATATATTTTTTTTCAAAAGTTTGAATTTGGATCTTTGTTTTGAATTTCGGGGACCATCGATTCACCAAGCAAGTTCAACTTGAGGAACCGTCTGATCTGGCTAGTCTGACCAGGTTGAATGGTTGAGGACACATTAAAGGAGGAAAGAAGTAGTTTGGGTAGCAAAATCCAGAATAGGAAAAACAAAAAGTCATCTTTTAATGGAGCTCTAACACTTGGTGCAATCTGGGCTATCAATCTAATATGAGGCACGATTATATAAAGGGATGTTAGGTCTTTCATTTGTCACCTTTTTGCTTTTTGCTCACTATGACGTCGTTTGGTGCAGGTATAAAAGCTAAGCCCCTCAACTTTTATTCAGATGCCTTCGATCCTTTTTTTTTAGTTGAATTTTCTTTACATTCTCTAAAAAAACCAAGAACAAGCCACCGAAAACTAGGCAACTTGTCGATTTCTAAAAAAAGTCATTAGAATTCAATCAAAAAATTCAAACTCCACTAGAAAATTCAATAAAAAATTCAAATATTCAACCCAAACCAAGATTTTTCCAAAAATTTCCAAATTCTTCAAAAATTTTTCAAAAATTCAACCTTGATCTAAGAAACTCGAAATCTCAATCCAAATACTTCAGACCAAAAGCCAGAAATCCAAACTCCTCTCAATCACCAGAACCTTGAATCCAGAAACTTCAAAACCTAGAATCCTTAAACTTAGAAATTCAAAACCCAGAGATTTCCTCCTTAAAAATCATCTAGTCTTTTCTCTAGAAATTCATTCCTCCTTTCTCTAAAAATTAACTTGTGCCTTTCTCTGCAATATTGTGTCCAATTTATAGCCAGTCTTCAGTAGAAATTTTAGGGTTCAAACAAAATCAATCCAGGCTTGAATCTTGAGATTGGATTATACCCGAACAAAACCAATCTAGGCTTGAATCCTATGATTGAATTTTATCAAACGTAAATTAGGCTTGAGTTTTGCAAGTTGGTTTGATTGATCCATTTTTAAATTAAAAGCAAATTCGATTTCCTTTCCATTTTGCTAACACAGATTAATAAAAATGGAAATAATAATATAATATAATATAATATAATAATAGTAATAGTAATAGTATCAATAACAATAAAAATAATAATAATACTAACAACAAAAATAATAATAGTAGTAGTAATAATAATAATACACATAAAAATTAACATCAGTTACCCCGAACACGGATGAGTGTTTACAATTACCTTTTGAGTTACATAAATAATATCATATTTTGAAAATATAACTTGCCATCTTGTTATCTTCCCTATTAATGAAGGCTTCTCAAAGACATACTTGATGGGATCCAAATTTGTTATGAGCTAGGTAATGTGATAAAGCATGTATTGTCTAAGCCTTTGAGTTGTCCAGGCCAGCACACAATATATCTTTTCCAATGGTGAATACTTGGACTTATAATCAGTGAACTTTGTGCTTAAGTAGTTTATCGCTCTTTCTTTCTTATTGGTTTCATCTTTTTGCCCTGGTACACATCCTATTGAATTTTCATGTATTGTCAAATACAAAATTAGAAGCTTTCCTAAAACTAGTGATACCAACACATATGGATTTGACAAATAGTCTTTGATTTTATCAAAAACTTCTTGACATTCATCGTTCCATTCTCATGGATCATGTTTTCTAAAAAGCTTGAAAATGGGATTGCACTTGTAAGTGAGTTGAGAAATGAAACGAGTAATATAGTTCAATCTTCTCAAAAAATCTCATAAATTTTTTGAAGTATGAGGAGGAAATAATTTCTAAATGGCATGCATCTTATCCGGATCCACTTCAATTCATCTTTCACTAACCATAAAGTTTAACAGTTTTTCTAATTTAGCATCGAATGTACACTTGGTAGGATTCAATTTTAGTTGAAATTTTCTCAACCTATCAAACAACTTTTTGAGATTGAATACATGATCCTCTCTTTCATGAAACTCTATAATCATATCACCACATATACTTTTATCTTTTTATATATCATGTCATGAAAAAGAGTTACCATTGCTTTTTGGTAAGTAGCACCAGCATTTTTTAATCCAAATAGCATAATTTTGTAGCAGAATGTGCTTTACTTGGTTACAAACGTTGTTTTCTCCATATCATCTCGAGCCATCTTAATTTGATTGTAGTCAGAAAAACCAACTATAAAGGAAATATGGAATGCCGAGCTATGTTATCCATTAAAGTATCGATATAAGGCAAAGAAAAGTGATTCTTAAGACTTGCCTTAGTCAAATCTCGATAATTGACATATATTCTAACTTTTTCATCTTTCTTGGAAACTAGCACTATGTTGACTATCCAATCGGGTTATTTTTCCACTTTTAAAAATCTAATATCAAATTGCTTCTTCACTTTCTCTTTTATTTTCAATAGCATTTCTGGTTACATACACCTTAATTTTTGTTGTACTAGCTTCTATTTCGATTTCTAAGGTAATTTATACTTTATAATATCAGTATTGAGTCCTGGGATATATTAGTAAGGCTATGCAAACACATCTACAAATTTTTAGAGTAATTCTTCTATCCTTTACCTATCTACTGGTAGAAAGGATAAACCAACCTTAACTTTTCTTTTATTTTCACCATCTCTCAAATTTACTAATTTAGTAACCTCTTGATGGAGCTCAATTAGCCTATCTTCGTGTTCTATTAGTTTCAACAAATCAGGAGACAGATTGTAATCATCTGAATACTCTTCATTATCAAGTTCATCAACATAAATTAGTTTTCGAAGTCAAATCTAAGATTATTGTCATGATTATCTTCATATTCATTATTTGGAAACTTGCAAATGGGTGAGATCACGAGAGTATTGGCATACAACACTGGTATAGCAAACAAATAAAAATGAAATAATAAAGGAAAATGAAAACAATATAAGAAATATGTATGCATTTTTTAACTTTTTTATTAAAAGGACAAACTTAAAACACAATAAAAAAGATCTCTTAATTTTTATGGAATAAATAATTAGGGATTTAAAGTTTCACAACTCATTACTTTTCAAAAAGTTGTAAAGATAACAAGCAGCTTTATGACTTTTCAATTTTTTAACTCAAAATCTGGAAGACAAGGGCGCATAAATAGATTTTCATCTTGGCTTTTCTTTTCTTCCTTATCTATCACCTGAATGGCTTGCTCTGAAAAAGCTTTCAAAAATTCTCTATTTGGGGTTTTAAGTAAAATTGGATAAATATATTTTCACGATCGAAAAGAATCATAAAGATAAGAAATGACCGTTGGCTCTAATTTTGGCTTATATCCTTTGAGATTAGCCATTTTTTTTTCTTTTT